AAGGTGCATGAAAACAAGATTATGAAATTATACATGTTTATATGTTTGTATGTTCTGTTTTGTTTATTGTTTGTTTTAGTTATGTGTTTGGAAAACCAATAAAAATTTATTTTTTTAAAAAAAGAGATCTTCTGCATACAGAAATGGTACTTATTCTTTGAGTTCAGTCCCTTTTGCTTGGTTGCTTGTCGATAGGCCGCATGAAGAATTGGCATATTTGTAGACCAGTCAAGTATTTCTAAACAGGCCATGGTTATGATGCACTGACACTTCCCTGAAATTACAGTGTTAGAAATTCAATATTAATAACAACAACAACAACAACAATAATAATAATAATAATAATAATAATAATGTATTATTTGTACCCCCAAGCCCATCTGGCTGGGTTTCCCCAGCCACTCTGGGCGGCTTCCAACAAATATTAAAAATACATCAAAATGTCACAAATTAAAAACTTCCCTGAAGCCTTCAGATGTTTTCTAAATGTCAGGTGGCATATTATTATTATTATTATTATTATCATCACCACCACCATCTTCATCATTGCAATTATTATTAATTCCATTTCTATGCCGCTTTAATATTTTAAAGAACAAATCTTAGCAGTTTTACAACACATAAAAACATCAAATACTGCAGAATAAAAATAATTCAAGCTGTAAGGAAAATATTTCAGATCCTTCTCTAAGTGACATTTTGCTTTCCCCAGTTGCCAACCTAGCATCCAGAGATCTGCATATGGTCGCAATTGGACCCGCAGTAGTTGCGAAACATGCCTGGCGCCTGCCTAATTTCGAATACTGTGGCTGTAGGCAGTTGTTAGAAATGAAACTTGTTCATCAGGTACCGTGATACCTCGGGTTAAGTACTTAATTCGTTCCAGAGGTCCGTACTTAACCTGAAACTGTTCTTAACCAGAAGCACCACTTTAGCTAATGGGGCCTCCTGCTGCCGCTGTGCTGCCGGAGCACGATTTCTGTTCTCATCCTGAAGCAAAGTTCTTAACCTGAAGCACTATTTCTGGGTTAGCAGAGTCTGTAACCTGAAGCGTATGTAACCTGAAGCATATGTAACCCGAGGTACCACTGTACTGAGAGGGGAGGAGATTATCATGGTCGCAGCACAGAGATTTTTGGTGGGAAGAGAGTCTCTAGATTTCCAGTTCCATGACATGCGAAAGCTCTGCCGACTTCATAAGAGGCAACTTTGGTCGGACAGAATTAAGGAATGTAAATTGTGGAAGTTTTATGGTAATGCTGTACATTATTTCAGGCACGTGCTTTCCAAGCACTGAGCCCTCTTTTGTTTCGTTTTTACAAATCCACAATATAATTTTGCAGGCTCTGTGTGTGCGCGGACGCCATTTCCGCTGTGCCCACTTTGCTCAAGTGTTTGGAACCAGAAAAAGAGCAGTGAAAGAAATTCTTTGAAGAAACTTAACCTTTGGAGTGGGAGAAGAAAAGTCAAGCAGAGGAACAACGCATTGCCACAGGAACAGAATGTTTCTCCAGCGATGAGTGTTTTGATATTATTATTTTTTTAAAGGTGCAACAATTGAAACATAACCCTCTCCCACTCCCCCCCAGAAACCTTCTTATTAAAGTAAACAAGCACAATAATCCGAATGCACAGTATGTCTGTTTCTCTCTGGCAAATGCTTAGTAATGCACATTTTGTTTCTTCCCAGGCAAATTTCTCATTAGTCACTATTGTAACTGAGACATTTGTTATAGAAAGGCAATTAATTGCAGAGGCATGACTGGATCTCCATAAGGTCACTTAACGCTCCTGCGTCGTGCTGGTGGGGTGAAGGGAGGTGGGAAGCGGAAGTATTTTACCAATCTGAGGGTCACACAGATCTATATCCAGTCAGGTTTTTAAAAATACAGTGGTACCTCAGGTTACAAACGCTTCAGGTTACAGACTCTGCTAACCCAGAAATAGTACCTCGGGTTAAGAACTTTGCTTCAGGATGAGAACAGAAATCACGGGCGGCAGCGGGAGGCCCCATTAGTTAAAGTGGTACCACAGGTTAAGAACAGTTTCAGGTTAAGAACGGACCTCCAGAACGAATTAAGTTCTTAACCTGAGGTACCACTGTAAACATTGAGTTACATTTGGCAAATGGCTTCGGTGTAATGCAGAAATCTGTGTGTATACTTTAGCTTTCTTCCATGGAGCTCTAAGTACCATACATGCCCCCCCCCCAAAAAAAACCCCACAAGAATCCTGTGGTTAGTTGGTTGGGCTGAGAGAATGTGACTCAATAACTCAGCGACACTCAGTGAGTTTTGTAGCAGGTGTGTGTGAACCTGCTCTCCTAAGCACTAACTATTATATGTCGTTTTATTAGAAATCATTGATAGGAGTGCAGAGATGGTTATTGGCTACCTACTGTGTTTGCATTTTAAAAACCATTGGGCACCAAAGATAGGATCTATCTGAATTCATATTCCAGAAACACAGGTATCATATTGAGTAATCATATTGTACCAGGCATCCTCAACCTCAGCCCTCCAGATGTTTTGAGACTACAGTTCCCATCATCCTTGAAAACTGGTCCTGCTAGCTAGGGATCATGGGAGTTGTAGGCCAAAAACATCTGGAGGGCTAAGGTTGAGGAAGCCTGTATAATTATACAGTAAAGCAGTAGGTAAATTGTGCCAGAAACAGGGGCAAATGTACGATGAAACTAATGAAGCTTAAGATTCAGGTTTTCTAATCCTGGAGGGACCCTTTGCTTAATTTTTTGGGGGGTCTAGTAGACCCAGTTTGTGTTGCATGGCTCAAATCCTTCTCTGATGCATCATGCATGGATATAACATTGGGCAGACCAGATTTCCATACACACTGCCCGGGCTTGCACCCTGAGGGAGTCACTTCAGTGCTGCTAATGCAGGAGTTTGCGGCCCCCCCCCCCCCCGCAGGAGCACTTCATTGTGTCTCAAGACCAGACGGACTCCACCCCACCAATGGTTAGGGGAAGTTTGTTGAAACATCACAGAACAATTGGCCACAATCCTAGGAAAACACTGAAGGAGCGTCTCCACCTCCATCGTTCAGCCTGGACAATGAGGGCCTTCTGGCGGTTCCCTCGCTGCGAGAAGCCAAGTTACAGGGAGCCAGGCAGAGGGCCTTCTCGGTAGTGGCGCCCGCCCTGTGGAACACTCTCCCACCAGATGTCAAAGAGAAAAATAACTACCAAACTTTTAGAAGACATCTGAAGGCAGCCCTGTTTAGGGAATGTTTAATAGGTTATTGTATTGTAGTGTTTTGTTGGAAGCTGCCCAGAGTGGCTGGGGAAACCTAGCCAGGTGGGCGGGGTATAAATAATAAATTATTATTATTATTATTATTATTATTATTAACAACACACAGGCTGAAGTCCAATGCCACCGTCACACTTGCAGAATGGCTTTTGAGCCACCCTCTAATGACATAAAGGGAGGCTATTTTTCTGCAATTCCCCTTTCCTCTTGCAGTCCTCTGTGCCTCCCCCCACCCATCCCCCCTGCACAATCTGTTCCATAGGATTTGGGTGCCCTCCAGAACAGCATAGAAGGTTGCTTTGGAGGCAGGAGTAGGAAAAAGAAATGGGGAGAAAATTCCCCATTCCCTCCTGTCTCCTTAACTTAACAGATGCCTTCACTGGATCAAAAGCATTTCCAGAAAAGAGGAGTAGCATTGGATTTTACCCATGGAATAGTGCAAGTTAGAGGATTGCGGGTGGCGCTGTGGCCTAAACCACTGAGCCTCTTGGGCTTGCCAACTGGAAGGTTGGCGGTTCAAATCCCCGCAACGGGGTGACCTCCCGTTGCTCTGTCCCAGCTCCTGCCGACCTAGCAGTTTGAAAGCATGCCAGTGCAAGTAGATAAATAGGTACCACTGCAGCGGGAGGGTAAACGAAGTTTTCGTGTGCTCTGGTTTCCGTCACAGTGTCCCGTTGCACCAGAAGCGATTTAGTCATGCTGGCCACATGACCCAGAAAGCTGTCTCTGGACAAATGGCGTCTCTCTGGGCCTGAAAGCGAGATGCGCGCCGCACCCCATAGTCGCCTTTGACTGGATTTAACCGTCCAGGGGTCCTTTACCTTTTTTTACCTTTACTTAGTGCAAGTTAAGGTGAGAAAATTACCTATATTGTTTCCATCTTGATCATGACATTGTCTCTTAAGTATTAAAGGTAAAGGACCCCTGACAGTTAAGTCCAGTCGCGAACGACTCAGGGGGTTGCGGCGCTCATCTCGCTTAACTGTCCAAGGGAGCTGACACTTGTCCGCAGACAGTTTTTCCGGGTCATGTGGCCAGCATGACTAAGCCGCTTCTGGCGAAAGCAGAGCAGCATGCGGAAAGGCCGTTTACCTTCCTGCCGCAGCAGTACCTATTTATCTACTTGCACTGGCGTGCTTTCGAACTACTAGGTGGGCAGGAGCTGGGACCGAGCAACGGGAGCTCACCCTGTCGCGGGGATTTGAACCGCCAACCTTCCCTAAGCTCAGTGGTTTAGACCACGGCGCCACCCACAGCCACTCTCTTAAGTATTAGACTAACTGGGTTTTGTACATAGCTCCCGACGAAGGAGAGTTCTCTGAAACACCATACAGTTGATTATCAGACGCTCTCAGTCTCCGTTTGGATCCTCCCCCCCCCCCCACTGTTAGACATGTTGAGGTGCTCAGCTCAGCAGCCATTCTCAGGACACGGTTGAAGTGTGAGAAATCACCCTTTAATGGAACTTAACAATTTTTTAAACTTTCTGATTTTTTACTTGGGTTTTCCACCAGTATCTAGCTGCATGATGGAAAGAGAACAAACTCAAAGCATGCATTAGCATTCAGTGGTAAACTCCTTCTAAACAACAACAACAACTGTAAAAGGAAAAGATAGGGAAAACCAACCTACATTTGTGTTGCTGCAGAAGAGACAGGAATTCTTTAGGTTAACTGAAATAATTAAGTTTGCAAGAAATCTATACTCCTGTTTAATTTTGCTTTCAAGGTGTTTTGCTGCTGCTGCTGCTGCGCTGAAATGCTGTTTGTTAAAAGATTCTGTGCTTCACATCTGAAGACCAGCAAGATGCCCCATCGGTTCCAGAGTAACAAACGACCAGTTGCTCCTCTTGGGTCACGGGTTTTGTTGGATCCAGATAAAGTTTTTGATCACAACATGTGGTATGATTAATGCAATTTGCTACTGTGTTATCAGTTTGTCTTTTAAATATAGGTAGGGATGGTTGTTGTTTTTTGAGAATCTAAACACAGAGGCGGAATGCTTTCCTGCCATTCAGAGACCAGAATCCATAGCCAGCAGAAACCTTACATGCACATGGAAAGTGTTTTAATCTTTGTCGGTTAATTTAGAGAGACAAACCAACTGATATTCAGTGGTCGGTCAAAAAAATTATCTCAGTGTTTTCAGAGATTAATTGGATACCTTGGATATCCCCCCTGCCCTCATATGTGATATATATCTGTTTACCAATTGCAGGAAATTTGAGTGGGCACTTGTTTCACCATCACAAGAATGGCTATCATCCATGTTCCATTAATTTTTAAAAATAGAACATGAAGTAGAGCCATGTTATGAAATAAATGATGGATGTACTAGTAGCAGGAGTTTGAGATTGTTATTATTATTAATTGAATTTATATACTGACCTTTGCCCCCCCCCAAATTATGAATCTTTGTAAATTGTGTTTCTGAAGGAACTTTTGTTATTGCCAAATGGCAATGTGTTTGCATTATTAAGTTTGTTATGAATAAAAAAATCATTTTAAGTTAGAGCTTACTAATTATTTCACTTAATATACTTCTTAATTGTATTTCAGTTCAACAATTACTTAGATAAAATAACATATTTTGTTATGTGCTAATGGCTTTAGATACCTATTAGGTCCATAAATTGCCATATAGCATATATTCAACACAAAAAACAGCGACAATTTCTTGTTGACAAAGGACAACTGGACATATAAAGGGCCACATTACCTGTTTAGGGAAAGTTTTAATGTTTGATGTATTACTGTATTTTAATATTTTGTTGGAAGCCGCCCAGAGGGGCTGCGGAAGCCCAGCCAGATGGGTGGGGTATAAATAATAAATTATTATTATTATTCAGTAGCTTAGGTTAGGGCCTCATCAAACCTAAATCCGACCCTCCCATTGCAGTAATCTAACCTTGAGGTTACCAGAGCATAGACAATAGTAGTTAGGCTATCCCTGTCCAGATAGGGGCGTATCCATACCATAATAGGAGATGAGCCCTCACTTCCTTCTTCCTACCTTGTGGAAGACCTTGATGCTCTGGTTAGGTTGGGGTGAGTGAAGCAAGTTGTATGGGACGCATTTCCCTACTTCCAGGCAAACAGTTTGGCTCTGTGCTCCTTCTAAGTCAGGGATGGGCAGGTTGCAGACCTCCAGATACCGTCAGACTTCAACTCCCATCAGCCCCTGCCAGTGTGGCTACTAGGGCATGATGGGAGCTGGAGTCCAACAACATCTGGAGGACCTCTGGTTGCCTGTTCTTGATGCCGTAAACATTTTTGTCAACGTACATTCCCCAAATACTAGTTTTTTGGAAATGTGCTGCCATAGCAATTGGTTTGCTGCACCCTAAATGCTTATTTATGGACACGGGAGGCGCTGTGGGTTAAACCACAGAGCCTAGGACTTGCCGATCAGAAGGTCGGCGGTTCGAATCCCGGCGATGGGGTGAGCTCCCGTTGTTCGATCCCAGCTCCTGCCCACCTAGCAATTTGAAGGCACGTCAAAGTGCAAGTACAGTGGTACCTTGGGTTAAGTACTTAATTCCTTCCAGAGGTCCATACTTAACCTGAAACTGTTCTTAACCTGAAGACCACTTTAGCTAATGGGGCCTCCTGCTGCTGCCGCACCACCGGAGCACGATTTCTGTTCTCATCCTGAAGCAAAGTTCTTAACCTGAAGCACTATTTCTGGCTTAGCGGAGTCTGTAACCCGAAGGTACTACTGTAGATAAATAGGTACCGCTCCAGCAGGAAGGTAAACGATATCTCCGTGCGCTGCCCTGGTTCGCCAGAAGCGGCTTAGTCCTGCTGGCCACATGACCCGGAAGCTGTACGCCGGCTCCCTCGGCCAATAAAGCGAGATGAGCGCCGCAACCCCAGAGTCGGTCACGACTGGACCTAATGGTCAGGGGTCCCTTTACCTTTACCTTTAAATGCTTATTTGCTTCTGTGGCATGCCTTAGGACGTAACCATTAAGTCATTAGCCCCTTTTGAATTTCTGGCACTGAAATTCCTAGGGAATAGTTTGCGTTGCTCAGCGTTTTTCCACTCTTGTTTTGGCGCAATACTGTGGTGTGACACTGGCTCCAATAATCCTTTACTGCAGCCTGGCTAACATTAGAACACCATTATTTGACATGGGGAGATTTAAATCTTTATCCCACTCAAATCCATCTGTTGCGCTCTATAATTAAAAGCTCCCTGCAGCTCACCTCTGGTTGCTGTTTTGGGTTGTGTTTAGTGGTCTAGTAACACATGGGAGCAATTACAAGTATTTCTTCAGAAACAAAACCAGCTGCAACATTCCTCTATCGGATTACCCACACCTTTACTAAGTATATTTCTGTACATATCTGTATGTCATGCTTTGACTCGCCGGGCAACCATGTTTTGATAACTACAAATCTGTGGTGGAATGGCGGCCGCATAGCGTAGCTGGCACATGACATGCAACGTGTGTCATTTTAGGAGATAATGAGCCCTTATTACACGGGAATCAAACGACACAGACCCTATCACGAGCGCACGGGCTTGTGTTTGGGAGAGATGGCGTGTTTCCGAAAGGACAAACTTTATGCCGGCACTCGCTCCAGAATGGGCAGAGGGAAAAGGCTGCGGAATGTCCTATAACGAAAAGGTGACACACACCACAGAGGCATTTGAATGCTGCCGTGGACCGTGAGGAGAAGGCAGTACAAGGAGTTTTTCAGCGCAGAGTCTGCTGGAACTCTCCACAAGCATAAGAATGAAGCATAAGAATGGCAGGAGCTCCAGAGGGCATCGAGGCCTACTTTAAAGACCCGGGAGAGTGAAGCGAGGGGTGAGGTGGAGAGCAGCTAATGGAATCTAGAATATACAATGCATTTGATTACATGTGGTGCTTAAGGGGAGAAAAGAAAAGAAAAGACTGGAAGCTTTTAAAAATAAAAGGCATCCTTTCCCCCCCTTCCCTTGCAATCCCCCCCCCTTGCAGGGACCACATGCAGTGGTCACAGGAAGAAGAAGAAACAGCCAAGGAAAAAGCCGCAGAGAATTCACTCGTCAGAGTCCAACCAGAGCTGCAAGGTAAAATACCCTAATAACAATTAAAACTGCAATACACCCACCCTTTTGTTTATGCGCTAATCCTTAGCATCACCATCTCCTTCTTTTCCTATGCGCTGAACAGTCATACCTTGGAAGTCAAATGGAATCCGTTCCAGAAGTCCGTTCAGCTTCCAAAACGTTGGGAAACCCAAGTGCAGCTTCCGATTGGCTGCAGGAAGCTCCTGCAGCCAATCAGAAACCCACCGGACATTTGGCTTCTGAAAATCTTTCGGAAACCGGAACACTCACTTCCGTGTTTCGATCGTTCGGGAGCCGATTTGTTCGGGAGCCAAAGTGTTCGAGATCCAAGGTACGACTGTGTTGACTGTGACATATTTTAACATTGTTCCCTCCTGGCTCACGAAATATTGACATCTAACCTCCCAGGCACATCTGGCGTTACTCTCCCACTTTCTACAGCTGGTTGACCTTCAGGGTGATAACAGCATGTACACGGTCGCTACATGAATTTAATGTCAGTGTTTGGTTTTCTAAAAGATCTGTCGATGTATCTTTTCCCAGAATTAATAAACCTCAGCTTGATATGGGAATCTACAGGTCTGAAATGAACCCGTTTAAATATTTTTCCAACAAAAAAATCTTGATCCTCCCTTCAGGCAATTTTTGCAGGACTGTTCGCCTAGTCATGCTGTTGTTGTATGTGCGTAACCACAGTAGTGGAATCTAGGTTAATGGGGAACAGGCAGAAATACCATGTGGTACAGTCCTCTTTGGTGTCTCTGTGCATGTTAGGCAGATGAGCTTTTAGGAGGACCTCCAGAACTTGACAAGGTGGGGAGGAAAAACGTGTGCAAGATATTGAGACTGTGTTTATTTAAAATCCCTGTATATTTTTAACCTGTGTTTCAGGCAAAATGTGATTTGAAGGAGCAGCTTACAACCATTTTAAAAATCATCCCATAAAGTACTGGTTTAAAATGCAGGAGTAGTAGTAATAGTAGTTATTAAACTTCCTCCCACTGGTTGTGTGTTTGCCCCTTATGCTGATGTCTTTTCAACATCGGTGGAAGATGTTGCTAAATTTGGCCTTCAAGGTACTGTTGAGATGGTTGGCCTGTTTGTTGTGAATCATGTACTTCTGGAATTATGTGGAAGATTTGAGAGTTTTGATAACGTTATGGTTTTAATGCGATTTATTTTTTAAAATATTTTAATATAATTCCTGTATACTTCTCTGGAGGTGAAAAACTAGTGCTGTGTGCATATGCAAACGTGTTTTTCTTGCTTCCCCTGTTCCACGTTGTTTGGGAAGAAAGCACCTCATCATTAGTCAGGGCCTGGTGAAGCCATGCCGGAAGTTATGAAGGAGGAGGTGGCAGAGACAATTCAACACGTGGCTGCTGCTTTCTGATTATGCCCATAGTTGTAAACACTGAAATGCTCTTGCCCCTGCTATTCAGACCAGGTAGTAGTCTGGCTGATCAAGAATATTTGTTTCAAGTCATTAAAAGTTTGAGGGCGGCCTTGTTTATCTAATATGTGAACTGGGAATACTTGGAAAACCCCACACCTTTTCACTTGGACATATCCAAGTATTTCATCATTCCGTAAAAGATGGAAAAGTCTGTATGAGTGTGGGAGTGGTTGTCACCAGAGGTATGTGCATGGTCCGTTGAGAAGCTCAAATGTGAGGCTACACACTTGCTGCCCTTTGCAAATGGAGGGGGAAATCTTAGGCCAGAAATAGATGTCCTGAATTTGATTAGTCTTGTAGTCATTTGCTCACACAGCCTCTTCAGATGTTACTTGATGCAACTGGCTCAGGAGCAGACAAGAGTGCCCACCTGACCTCCAATCAGTCTCGTTGTCCCTGCTTAATGGAAAGTATAAGAAGAAGGGCAAGCAGTGGCGAGGTTTTTGTTGTTTAGTCGTGTCCGACTCTTCGTGACCCCATGGACCAGAGCACGCCAGGCACTCCTGTCTTCCACTGCCTCCCGCAGTTTGGTCAAACTCATGTTGGCAGCTTTGATAACACTGTACAACCATCTCATCCTCTGTCGTCCCCTTCTCCTTGTGCCCTCCATCTTTCCCAACATCAGGGTCTTTTCCAGGGAGTCTTCTCTTCTCATGAGGTGGCCAAAGTATTGGAGCCTCAGCTTCAGGATTTGTCCTTCCAGTGAGCACTCAGGGCTGATTTCCTTCAGAGTGGATAGGTTTGATCTTCTTGCAGTCCATGGGACTCTCAAGAGTCTCCTCCAGCACCAATAATTCAAAGCATCAATTCTTTGCCATCAGCCTTCTTTACGGTCCAGCTCTCACTTCCATACATCACTACTGGGAAAACCATGGCTTTAACTATACGGACCTTTGTCAGAAGGTGATGTCTCTGCTTTTTAAGATGCTGTCTAGGTTTGTCATCGCTTTTCTCCCAAGAAGCAGGCATCTTTTAATTTCATGATTGCTGTCCACCATCTGCAGTGATCATGGAGCCCAAGAAAGTGAAATCTCTTACTGCCTCCATTTCTTCCCTTTCTATTTGCCAGGAGGTGATGGGACCAGTGGCCATGATCTTAGTTTTCAGTTTTAGTGGTGAGGTTGGTGCAGGACAAATGCAGCGCCAGGCTGACCCAGGGAAGTCACACATTTCAGTGTACAGTGGTACCTCAGGTTTACACATGCTTCAGGTTACAGACTCTGCTAACCCAGAAATATTACCTCAGGTTAAGAACTTTGCTTCAGGATGAGAACAGAAATCCTGCTCCGGCCAGCAGCGGGAGGCCCTATTAGCTAAAGTGTGCTTCAGGTTAAGAACAGTTTCAGGTTAAGAATGGACCTCCGGAACGAATTAAGTACTTAACCTGAGTGTACCACTGTATTCCCTGACTGCATGTGTGGTGTACTTGTGCATTTCCCTATGGATCCTTGACACCATGCTGTAGCCACTCCTTGAGAGCCAACTAGTATTGCTTTGGCTGACATTTGCATTTACCTGGAGACCTGGAACGAAAGGTTCTTGCAAGGGTGAATAAGGGCTGCGATGCGTTGCTTTGCATTTGCAAAACTGCCACAGCCGTGGTGAATCTTGCTGGCTTCTCTTCATTGTGGAAAACCCTGTTTTGTGTTTTTCCTCTCTCTCTCTTCTGTATATATATATATGCATCCATCCTTTCTCTCCATTTCCACCTGGCCAATGAAGTTCCTCTAGGTCTTCAGAGTTTACTCTTCATATAATCTTTTCGGCTTCATTCTGAAATAAGTGCAGACTTGCAAATTTGCCTCGTTGACATTCTTCCTACTCTTTTAAAGATTAATTGAAGCATGGTAGCATTCGCTGGAAATTAAATAAGTAGAGTGGCAGGCAGTTGCTTATGGCTGAAATATATTGGGACTCAGGAAGCCATTCTTTCTCTTATGAATGCCTGCATGCTTAAAACGGGACTAGGTGAGCATTGCCAATAATGCTTCCTCTCAAAGCTTCATCTTCTTTCTGCATGTGGCAGCACATTTTGACCTATTTATTGTTAACAATGAGCTCGAGCTGAAACTAATGAGTAGGTTATTTTTAGGTCATTGGAAATCACTGTGAAAAAGAAGAAGAAGAAGAAGAAGAAGCAATAAATAAAAGGCAGTCTTCCTCCAACATACTGCAGCATTGCCAAAAAGGATCGTTGTGAAGGACCTTGGTACAAAAAGGAAGAGCGAGAATGAATAAACTGATAGACTTTCGAGCACTTTCTCTGCTTATTAACATGGTCAGCTGCTTTTCAAGCATGCTTATTAGGCAAAGAGGAGGCTATTGCGTCTAAAAGGAAGAAGAAGAATGTAGTGTTTGTTTAGCGACTTTACACGCTGCTCTGTTCTGATTTCCTCTCTTTTGAAGGATGCTGCAAAAAGGCAACATCCTGAAACAATGCCAAGCGAATAGCAACCGAAAGCCGGCAGCCATGTCTGATCAGCAGCGCTTCCAGATGGGCGTTAATTGTGGGATTGTTATTCCTCGCTAGAGACGGCCAATCCATCCGACTCTTGTTTCTCCCAGTTTTTCATTTTTCCACTCTTCAGTTCGCCACATCAGTTTGCCATTAAAAAAAAGTTCTCATAAAAAAATTAACAATTGCGTTTTTGTGTGAGTTGCTCCCAATACACACACGTTTATATGCAATTTTACCTTACACATTTTTTTTTGCAAAGCAATTTCGCCTAATGTAATGAAATGTTGTATGCTAGTTTCTTCAGTACAGTCCTACCTCATGTTACGTTTGCTTCACGTTACGTTCTTTCAGGTTACGTCCCACGGAGACCCGGAAGTACCGGAAAGGGTTACTTCCGGGGTTCGCCACTCGTGCATGCGCAGAAGCACTAAATCGCGCTTGGCGCATGCACACAAACACCAAATCACGTCGCGCACCCGCGCAGATAGGGCACTTCAGGTTGAGCTCTTTTCATGTTGCGAAGGGGCCTCTGGAACGGATCCCGTTCGCAACCAGAGGTACCACTGTATATGCATTTATATGCACACTTTGCCATGTTGTTGTTTAGTCATGTCCAACTCTTCGTGACCCCATGGACCAGAGCACGCCAGGCACTCCTGTCTTCCAGTGCCTCCCGCAGTTTGGTCAGACTCATGCTGGTAGCTTCGAGAACACTGTCCAACCATCTCGTCCTCTGTCGTCCCCTTTTCCTTGTGCCCTCCATCTTTCCCAACATCAGGGTTTTTTCCAGGGAGTCTTCTCTTCTCGTGAGGTGGCCAAAGTATTGGAGCCTCAGCTTCAGGATCTGTCCTTCCAGTGAGCACTCAGGGCTGATTTCCTTCAGAATGGATAGGTTTGATCTTCTTGCAGTCCATGGGACTCTCAAGAGTCTCCTCCAGCACCATAATTCAAAAGCATCAATTCTTCGGCAATCAGCCTTCTTTATGGTCCAGCTCTCACTTCCATACATCACTACTGGGAAAACCATAGCTTTGACTATACGGACCTTTGTCGGCAAGGTGATGTCTCTGCTTTTTAACACTTTAC